ATCCGACGGCTCTTGGTGAAGATGGCATGCTTCTGGATATCGAGGTCCAGCCTCTGATCCCGGCCGACGAATCCAAAATGGACGCCACAGCCGACATTAAACACTTCTTTGGTGAGCATGCTATGGCCGTAGGACGGCGTGGCGGGCAGCCGAAACTGCATCGGAAGTGCAAGACTTACAGGCAAGTGATCAATGTCTCAATTCAATAATCCGTATCACACTCCTTTCAGGGACGCAATCTGACGCAATAGTTGCGGACGCCAACGTCACATGGGGAAATACGCTGTGAGTCTTTTTTCTCGCTCCTCCTCCAACCCGATCCGACCCAAAATGCAGAAAATTTATCGCCAGTGGGCCGAGAAGCACAATTCCAAGGCGAAGCTGGAGGAAGATATCCAAGCGCGCAAAAAGGCAGGTGCCGATGCTGAGGAAGTGGCCAAGAAGGTTCTCCAGTAAACGCTCGATCCGCATCTCAGAGAGAAGCCTGCGCGAGTAAGTCCCATATAGCGACGCACTATTTCGTGATGTAGCGTTAGAATGGCTTAGTGCGACAATAGATTGCCCAGAATAATATAGCATCTAGATGTGTACCATGTACCATCCTTGACGACCAGCACAAGAATGGACTGGTCCCGTGCACCGAATTAAATACTTGGACAATGTTTCATTTCTTATTTTCCAACAAAATAACCACACTTCCACAGCTCCTCTGGATCCACGGCCTGGTCGATGGAAGGTCGGTGAAAAACGCGCCAAGCGCGAGCTCGAGAGTGCGCGAGCCTCCGAAGGAATGGAAGTGTCTGAAGCGCTTCGTCACCTGTCTTGTCCTGCTCCCCGTCAGCGGCAGACGGGGAGGACAACAAATGAAGCGGACGTACGCTATGCTGTACGTCGGGACACAGCGCGAGGAGCGGTCAATGTCGGCATCGAAGTGGCTGCCGGGAAAGGCGAGATACTCCCGCCGTTGAAACAGTATTGAACCCGAATGAAATAACGATAATACGGACCACCCTACCCCTACCCCTACCCCTCCTTCTCCTTCTCCTTTCCCTTCCCACTCTGCGTCTCGGCTCCCCTTTCTGGCCCTGTGAAAAAATGAGCTCCATAATTAAAAAGTACCTCCTCCCCTGCCCCCAGCTTTCTCGCTACACAACCGTTCCGTCAGCGACTATCCAGGACGGAAAAACTCGGCTGACTTGCGTAGATCCCAATGCGGTGTTCCCCATTAACCAATCGCACTGCGCAAATGAAATCAATACCAGGGAAGAGAGAGAGGAAAGGGCAGAGGTCCAGCACTGACCCCGTGCTCGACAATTCGGCACCCGTGCATCGTGGTTGATGTACCGCGCAGCGTTGCCCGCGTACGCCCCATCGATGGACAGCGTGCTGTTCAGCTCGAAGAGGTAGTTTCGCCCTCGGTGCAGAGCGAGCGGTCTGCGGAAGCGAACAAAAGCAATTGGTGAGCAGCGTAGAGGAAAGCCAAGGGCGGGAAGCTGAGACGTACTCGCGCGAGTCAGTCGTCGGGTCGTAGATGAGCTCGCCGACGTATTCTGCCGGCAACGGACAAAGATAACGAACATAGAAAATAAGATGATACGAAAGTTAGCTAGATGATGGACGGCAAGGACGAGCAGACGCACCGATAATCAGGGCATCGGGCGCCGCCTCTTCTGCCATAAAGAGGCCCATGCCCCAACGCGCGGGGGCCACTGTCGTGCGCTGCATCCGAATGTCATCAGTCGTGCTGCCAAGACACAGCCGTAGCGACGAATAATGCACCTTCCATCGCCCGCGCTGGATATCCACATTCCGACAGAGATCCACACTAGCATCTGTGTGCATCCCGTTCACTCAGTCAGTCATCGGGCGGGTGTGTGGGGGGACAAACCCACCGCTGAAATCCCCGCCAATAAAAGAAGACAAAAAGAGAGGTCAGGGAGGAGACGGGGCAGAGAGGAGACGCACCGTGCCAGGCACTTGACACACAGCTCCGGATCGCACTCGCGGTGCGCCAGGTAGCACGCGCAGCGATCCGTGCCGCACGTCAAGCTCTTGCTGGTGCATATACAGCCGCGCCAACGGCGCGCGCCTGCCCCGTACACACATCCATCAATAAATTAAGCTGGGTTGCGCGCGAGGGGGAGAGGTGGAATAAATGAAATAGTGGGGGGCAGGACGCACATTTTCGGGTGCAGCGGCAGCCGCTCTCGCAATGTGCCTTGTTGATGAAGCACGGGCACTGTGCGGCGGCGTCGCAGGGACCGTCGTGTCGGCAGGGCTTGCCTCTACAGCGCGCAAATGAGATGGGCTAGCGATGCACGAAGCTGGGGACCTACGGCGTGAAGCGTTGCGTATCGAGATCTGCAGAGGGGCGCGTGAGGTTTGTGGGCCGAGGGACGAGGATGAATAGATGGATGGAAGATGGACTTGCCGTCGAATTTCAGGGAGGACGCGGTCCTGCCGGGAGGCCGGGGCTTGCCCTTCCCTTTCGGCCGCGGGCGAGAGATCGCGGCGTCGGGGAGGATCGCGCGGCGCTGCTGGAATACCTGCATTAAGAAGGATATAGAGACAATGAGCATCGACTCTGGCCGGATGTGCGCGCGTACCTCGCAGCATGGCTTGGCACAGATGGTGGCGAGGTCGCACGGGAGCGTGTCGGGCGAGAAGTCGAGAATTGTGCGCAGCAAGTCGAGCTCGGCGGCGGTCCAGCGGATGGGCTGTGGGCCGGCCGTCAGTACTGGGCTTGGGTAAATGACTTGAGGCTGGTCTTACGTGGTCGCTGAGGGACTTGAGCACGAAACAGTCGGCGGAGCAGGGCGCGCTGACAAGGTCTTGCATGCGCTGGCTCTTGACAAGCGGAGGCGTCGTTAGTGGCATGGGTGCAGGGTCAACTAAGGCCAGGTTAGCGCGGGTCAGAGAGAGAACGTTCGCCAGATGTACGGTGGGTGCCGCAGAATCCGACGAGGCAGTTCAGATTGGTGCAAAAGTTTGACACCAGCACGGCGAGCGTCTTGTCAGGCGAATATGCAACCAGCGGTGTGTCGTCGCGGAGGCGTTTTGCGGACGCAGGCACCCCTGGTGGCCATTCGGGGAAATCTCTGAAGAAAGATTAATTTGAAAGTAGATGACTCTGCATGGATTTAATACCGTCGCTGACTCAGATATATCATCCCCCGACTACGGTTTCGATCGAGGAGTTCGAGTGGGAGGACCCCAGTCTCATCGATATGTCTATACGGAATGTGGTGGTCTGTGTGTAAGCGGCGCGCAGTCTCCACGACCACAACTTCCACTACAGCTAATCAATGAGGGCAAGAGAAGACAGGAGCATAGTACTCACAGTCGGGGTCCACAGTAGGCTCCTCCCAACTAAAGGCCTCGTATTCTTCAAGATATTTTGCCTGATCAAACGTGGGGTCGTCCGCAAACGGGATGAACGGCAGATCATGAGGGTCGTCGCCTTGGAAAATGTTGCGTGCAATCTGGGTGCAGTGTTCGTGCGCTGGAAGTGGAGGAAATGCGACTTCGAGATGCGTTATCTCGAGCGGCACCCGCTCCATCGTGGCCGTCTCGTAGTCCCAGACCTCGATATGATGTCGCGTAGATGACTTTGGACCAGCCCTAGGAGCTTTTCCTTCGGTGGCGCGTGGGACGGGGACCACTTGCTTGGAGACAGATGGGTTATCGCCCGATTCCGCGTCGGCTCGCGTTGGCGTACATGCCACCGAGGAGAGGGTTCTTGCGGCGTAGTCCGCCTTCCAGAGTCTGAATTCACCACAAGCTTCGGTGAAGACGCGTTCGACGATGCGTGTAACCTCAGAGACGGAGTCGAGCCCGGAATCCATCGTGGGTGCAAGAAGAGGACGTGTTATGGTCACATGTTTGGACCTCTTTGGCCTTGTGATGCCTCAACCCCTATCAACCAGCAGATGCTTCGTTATACCACCTCAATAAAGAAGAGGGCGCAGAGGAAACGACATGCCGAATCGATAACGCGGCGCGCATATGCATCCGGTTATGGTTTGGAAATTGTTTGAACGCAGAAAAACGCGTGTTCGTCAGTGATGGTTTGTCTGTTTAGGGTATTTTCTCCGACCTACAATTGAAAATCCCTGAAAATTCCTAGACAGGTGTGTAATACTAAGGTGAGGAGCAAGGCTCGGTAGCGTGGCGCGCATCCACCTCATTAGCGTTTTTTACATTTGAGAACAGACTTCGCCTGTTCGAATCAGGCCCCATCGTCCACTGAGTCCGCTCTTTTCTCAGTCCGCAACTAATATTCTCAGCTAAGCTCATGAGAGCACAAAAATCATAGGTAGAGCGCTGCGCATCTGGATTCTTTAACTCTACTCCAGTGTTGGCAGCAGGGTATGCCTCTGGGTGACTCAGGCCCGAGCCATCCTCGAAGTCCGAGAATTTTTTCGCCTCGGCGCTGAGCCTGTGGTGCACGGAATAAAAACTCCAATATCACTGACGTAGCAACACGAGCATAGAGGCTCGGTCGCGCGCTCCGCGCATCTCATCCCATGGACGACATTGACACAGCTACCTGCCTGTTCGACCCAGGCCTCCAGATTCTTATGTTATTGTATTTCGTCCCAGCCCACAACTAGAAATCTGACAATAAAGAGGAAGGACTAGGATGAGGTATAAGGCTCGGTAGCGCGTGGTGCGCATCTCCATCGAGTATGTTGTAAGACCCTATGCAAGCAGACCTCGCCTGTTCGACTCAGGCCCGAGCCATTACGTTGTTTTCCACAGCTGTTTTTGTCCGTCCAATCAACTAAAACTGTCGCGTAATATAGACCCAGCGCAGAGGTTGAAAGGCCCGGTACGCGTGGCGCGCATCTACCTCCCATAGTGTCGAGTTCTCTTCGTCTTTGAGAGCAGACTATGTCTGTTCGACTCAGGTCCGAGCCATTCATCGCGTCTGCGAATTTTTCTCCCGTCCCGCGGCTGAAAGTCCATGAGCAGCACAGGCGTACCAGGTTGAGGAATAAGGCTCGGTAGCGCACGGCGCGCATCTGCATCCAGTGACCGGCAAGCTTAAGCTGTAAACTTGCAAGCAGACCCGCCTGTTCGACTCAGGCCCGAGCCATGGCCCCTCCGCTCTCATCTCTCTTTATTTTTCGTCCCGTGAATAGATTGAAATCTTCAAGGATAGCCTAGGTTCAAGTATAAGAGGGAAGGCTCGGTAACGCTTGGTGCCATCTACCTCCCATAGTACGCAGCCTCCGTACTTTTGAGAGTAGAGTATTTAAAAATCGTCTACCTTTCCGGCTCTCTGGCGTGAAGACTCAAACCGTGAAGACTCCAACGCAGTCCATCGAATGCATTCCAAAAAAGAAACGAGTTAGCGGGTGCGTATGGTAGTACAAGACAGAGCCCAATGTAGGAGAGCTGCGTGAAGAAGCTGAAGAAGGAGCGCCCGGAGCCGGCGGCGGCGTCGAGCGCGAGGGTGGTGCAGAGGGTGCAGAGCGCATAGAGTGCGAGGAGGAGGCGCACGGCTGCGAGTGCGGAGGGGGAGAGGACGGGCGAGGAGACGAAGGCATGGTCGGGGAGGCGACGCCCGCGCGGGCCCAGGAGAGCAGCGCCATTCGCGGGCTCTACTTGGGTCTACGCGGCCTGCGGCGATGCAAAGAGAGTGCGGGAAGGCAAAAAAAAAAGAGAGAGATGCGGGGCAACGGGAGAGGACGACCGATTGGGTGATCTGATTAGATCAACGGCTGTCTTCCGTAAATAGGGGCTCTTTGCCTTCTACTTCCGTTTCCGTGTTCCGGGGGCGTGCATGGGGTAGATGTGTACCTGCCTCGCGTTTGGTGGCTCGATTCCTTTCCCGAGAAATCTATCCTCGAGTGGAGAGTGAAGGCGGCGGCCGAAAGAGGCGCGTGCAGATGCGCCGTAGACTCGTGACCAGTCTGCCTACGAGGAGCAGAAAAATGAGGCGAGTTCGGTTCATATTCCGATCAGCTGAGTAGTTATCTGGCACCCCCGCCAATTCAGCGTGTTTGAAGCTCTCTTAAATAGCCCAAATAATAATGGAGCAATTAAAAGTTTGGAAGAGGAGGTTGGCCTATTCAGATTTTTACACAGCGGGCAGAGTGTGAAGAACTACCCCGATGCCAAATAACATCGTGACTGCCAGATAACTTGTGACTCACAAGTTATCTGGCACTTTCCCCGTGCTACGCTCACAACTCACTCCTCAAACTCAAAATCTCTAGCAACCTGCTCCTCAAGCATACACAGACCTTGGTTCTCCATAGCACACGTCCAGGGGCACGAAAATACCGCGAAAATAACCTGAGTAGTCAATTCGACATGGAACCGACGCGTCGCTGTGGACGCCCGAAAGGTTCGAAGGACGGGCCACGGCCAGCGGATACACCTCCACGGGGCCGTCCTAAGACTAGAAAGGCTGCTGAATCAGATTCTGACGGTCCGTTCGGTTATGCCATTGCGTACTTCTGGACCCTCAAAGCTAATGCACGATGCAGATGACAGTCCAGAACCGCTGAAAAAGAAGGTCAAACCCTCGGAGCTGAAACGGAAGAGGGCTCGGGCGCCTGCAGCTCCTGTGCGCCCGAATCCTGGTCTGTGAACGACTACGGGTGCGTGCACCAGCCATGGGCCATCTACGCATCCCGCAACCACAATCTAGCCCCGGAGTTTGAACAGTTTTTTGGCACGCGAGTCCTGACAGCGGCAGCTGAGGAGGAAATGGATCGTTTGGAGCAGGAGGCCCGCACTGGTGTGTATCCTGGCCATGTGTTGCTTCCTGGTGACCGACTGACCGTGCAGGAGGGCAAGCCCAATCCCATCGAGACCCTAGACCTCCACAAGAGACAGCACCCCTTCAAACTACCCCATCGACAGCAGAATTATTGAAGCAAGCTGCCCGTTGTTCGAATTCCCGTGAGTACATCTCTATAGGAATAATTTGTGTTAACCTTCATTCTGTAGACATGTTCTTCTCGAAGCGTGAAGCCTTCGCGTGTGACACGGAGCCCGAAGAGAAAGGAATGGACACAGAGAACGAAGAGGATGAGACCATGCCCCGAAATCCTGCACGCAGGATTGAGCTATCGCTGTCGGGAGAGAAAGGTGAGGATCTTGGATCATGGGCAATGCCTGATATCTGACCTCTGTTGGTAGCATGGCTCAAACAGCCGAAGGGGATGCCCGCATGGCTATATCAGTTCTTCCGAGATACCGTACAACCGCTGCTCTTCGCAAAGGAGGGCGGGAAGCTTCTCAGACCGCTATCTTTAGTATTAAAAATGTGCATGCTCCGGCGTTATTCTGGATACTTACACTCCATTGAGCCCGCATATGAATTCCCCAATTACTCTCTTTCTCTTTCCTTTTCTGATTTCTTTTTTGCATTTCGTGAGACCCAGTATATTGAAATAAAAACCGTGAGCTCTTTGCCGTCAGCAGACTGGTACAATTCGGAACAAACAATCAACCTGGGCCCGAAGTTTGAAATTTTGGGTGGTGCCGATCACGCCGATCACCGGGGCTCGGTCCGATAGGTCAGATAGTGAGTTTATCAATCAAACTAAGGTCGACGCTGTGATCCCTGGAGCTTATACACTAAAATTCTGAAGAGACAGAAGTCAAGATAGGACTCCCTCAATGAAGTCCTCAACTTCGAGAAAATGATAATAATCAAATTTGAGGCCAGGGCGTGGGTCACAAGAAAAATTCAAACTCCGGGCTGAGCCCAATTAATCGTTCCGAATTGTACCAGTCTGCCTATGGCAAAGTGCTTGCCACATTTTTTGCCATTCGTAGGCAGACTGGTAACGAGTCTAGATGCGCCGCTTGGGTGAAGTGATGGTTACGGTATCCGCGCGTCCGGCGTTCGCGACCTTCTCACCAACTGATTGGCATTGGCAGGGCCGGGTGGGTTCCTGGCAGTGTCGCTGTGGGCGCATCCGTCGCTCAACATTTGACGTTCATGTCATTGTCACTCAAGCAGACAAGGAAGCTTGATTGGCCGTCTTGTCTGAATCAGTGTATTTTTATCTGCCGGTTATTTTACATAAACCAATTGGCCCATAATATTATTGGCTGTCCTTGCCTGAGGTCCTTCCATGGCGTCAGCCTGAGTAAAAGTGTCAGGTCGCTGGGGGTGAACTACCCAGTTGAGGCTTTTCAAAGATCCAAGCTCCTCAGAAAAAAACATCACGAAATCCAAGAACTGGGCCCGAGTCCCAGTCGAACGGGCACCTTCTGCTGGATGACACAAGTTCTAGAAAATTATTGGCAGACACTCCAAGCACCACCACACCTTCCTTCAGCCTCTATATGCATCTAGATATGAGCCGGTCTTTTGCACGAGCCTTCGGCGAACTCGGCCCAAAGAAAAAACACATCGATCTGCTCGAATGGCGTGGGCTCGAGTCGAACGAGCTCCTTCTGCTGAGGATTGGCTTGCTATTGTGCACTGACTCAGCAGACGTGCTCCGCGCACCAGCACACCTCCCTTGCCAGTATGCATCCCTCAATTCATGCGACCCATTTTACACAAATGTTGGTGCAGATAGATTGAGTAGGGGTTTGGACGCGGTAAGACGTCCGACTTCACGTAGATAGTAGGTGTGATCAAAATAAGTTGGATTCATAGTACGGGATACAACTGCTTAAATACTACTCAGTGAACAGCCTTGGGTGAGTTATAAGAATACTCTACACTATTCTACAGTATTCCACAGTGTAATAAATAGTTCCACAATGTTCCACAGTGTTCTACACAGCACAAAAATATACTGGCGGATTGCCCGAGATGCCCGAAGGCAGTGATTCCCACAACAAACCCGCAAAGTTTTCGAGGTTTTGTGCAGGGCGTGGGCTCGAGTCGAACGAGCTCCTGTTTGGGTACACGCTGTCCATTCCGATGCAGACCGACGCGCTTCGCGCCTCTTTCCTTGCACCTGGCTCCTTCTGAGCATGGTTTTGGTGAAGACTTTGACAAAATATTCACCAACAAAACTTGACCCAAAATCGTCATGGCGTGGGCCCGAGTCGAACGAGCACCTTCTGTTAGACTACGCAAATTTTATATCACTGCATGCAGATGCTTTCCGCACACTACCACGCCTCCTTCTCTGGTCTATCTCCCTCATTATAACCCATGGTTTACTGTAAGGGCGAGCTTGACAAAATATCCACCAAAAAACCTTCGACAACACCAACATGGCAGGAGCTCGAGTCGAACGAGCACCTTCTGCTGCACGATCGGCGAATTTGGACTGCACACAGACACGCTCCCTTCTATTGCATCCGCCGCCTCAGTATGCGACACATTTCTTGGCGAGCACGGTTGGAGACGGCTTATGTACTAGACCAAAAAGAGACACTGGCCGCAGGAATGGCATGGCTCGAGTTGAACAAGCAACTGCTGTTGAGGATTTGATCAATGACGGCGGAATTATACGCAGACGCGCTCCGAGTGCTACCACCCCTTGTTCTAGCTTTTATTCGCCTTCCTAAGTGCACCATTTTTGGCGCACCCTGCACACACGACTTTGTGAAATCCCCGCCCACAATATTGATTACGGGCCTGGTTAGAGCCTCGCCCTCTCTGGCGCTCGAGTACCAATTACAGGAAATCCAATCAAAAAAAAAGAATCGCATACCCGAGTGATGGTGTGAGCTCGAGTCGAACGAGCACCTCTTGCTGAATGACAATCATGGAGGGATTATTACATGCAGACACGCTCCGAGTGCTACCATGCCTCTCTATCATGTATCCGCGCTTCCTAAAGGCATCGTTTTGCACAACTTTGAAGAAATCCCGGTAACGCTAGTCCAAATACGTGACCATAAAAGGCATAGGCTCGCAAGGACCTAGAAATATTTCGGTCCTTATCCGCTGTAATTCTTTGCACCAATAACCATGCGGATGTGGAATGGGATTAGGACGTTGCCGCGCGGCGATCACTCGCAGAAAACAACGAGTGGTCGTATGCACCACTTGTGCATGGGCAATGGATCATCATTTCCATCCGAAGGAATTGCACCATGCTTCGTTGGGCTGTGCATGCCTCAGGATGTCACTGTCCATGAATGTCATTCTGCATGTGGAGAACT